CAGGCCCGGGCATTGGGTCCAGGTCTGGCCATGGGAGTGTGTGACTCCCTTCCCAGACACAGTGGGGGCTCAGGGTGTCACATGCCCAGTGAGGTGTGTGCTGCCCTAAGCTTGGCTACTTTGAAGAAAGAGGCAGAGGAGGCAGGAGACTGGTTCTTCAGCCATGGGCTGAGCACCCTGATCCATCCATACCTGATACTGCCACTCCTGAGCCCGACGTTACACAAACCACTCTACTGTCCTGCTCGCTTGGTCCAGGCCTAGTCAAGTTCTAGATTCCTGAGGTCTAAAGTGTAGACCCGGTAGGCTGGGCTGGCCTGTGGCTTCCTCTCTTCCTGTCATAGTGGTGAAAGGACAGACAGGGAGCAAGTTCTCTCTGTTCTCCTCTCTTGATCTCCCCTCCCCATTTCTTTGAGGGAAATGAGGCTTCGATGGAAAGACTCTGGCAGGCTTCCCCCACACCTGCATGGCTTCACGGCTGTCCCTCAGCCCCAGCCTCTCCAGGGCACTCCTGGTTACTCTGCCCACCGTGGGCAGAGATGCCATCCAATTTGTGCTTCTGCTGAAATGAGCCATTGGGCTCCAGACTCCTCCGGAAGCCTTCCRATTGCTGGGGCCGTGTCTCTGGAGGTTGGATGGAGCCTGGCTTCTCTGCTGAGGCTGTGGCGGCCATCCCTGCATGCCCCAGCCCGTCTTCAAGCTCAGGCCTAGCTTGACTCCCTTACCCTTCCCGGGCACCTGTGTCTTTTGCCTGTGGACAAATCCCATCCAAACCTAATGGAATCCAGTCGTGGTGGTGCACACCTGCAGTCCCATTGACTCTGCAGACTGAGGCAGGAGGATTGCAAGTGGAAGGCCAGCCTCAGCAACTTAATGAGACCCTGTCTCAAAATACAAGTTTAAACAGGCTGGGGATGTGGCTTGGTGGTAGAATATCCCTGGCTTCAGATCCTCAGTACAAAAAAGAAACTAAACTAAAAAAACACCCCAAAACCTGAAGGTACAGGGTGACCACAAGCTCCTCCCACCATGTCCACAGTTAAGGACAGAGGCCCAAGGGAAGGAGGCCCTAAATTGGTTGGCTCCGGATTCAAACCAAGTGACTCACTGCCAACTGGATGGTGAAGGATCATACCTCCCACATTCCTGGACTCATCCCAATGGCTTTGTCCTCTCTAGAATAAAATCCAAACTCCTGATTCTGGCCTCTAGCCCCTGCCTACCTTCTTCAGCCTCACTCTGCCTACATATCCTATCTTACCCTTCTGGAACATGCCAAAGAGGTCCCTGCCCCAGGACCTTTGCACTTGCTGTGATTGGTATCTGCCTAGAAGGCCTGGCTTAGATCTTCTTAGCTCTTTTCATGACTGGCTCCACCTCACATGGTCCTTTACCGGCTACCTGAAGTAGCACGCACCTACTTGTGTGCATATTCCTTTGGAGAGACTGAGCTCTGGGAAGACCCTGTAGTTTTGGTCTTCCACCTCCCGCCCAACCCAGTACCATCATCACCTGTTAAGGGAGCAGGTGAATATTTCCCAAAGCAAATTTCTGAGCTGGCTGTTACCCAGAGGAAGCTGAGCCTCTGAGAGGCTAAACCACTTGCTCAGGGTCACATAGTAGTGAGTTTGGGGAGGGTTGGCTCTGGGGAGAGTTGACTGGATGCTGGTCCCTACACCTGAGATTTGGGGCATTCTGTATCTCCCCCCACCCCCCACCCCCGCCCCCTGCACGTGCCTGCTCCACCATGCAGCTATGAATTCTGGGTGTTATTTTAAAGGTGTTAGTGGCCACATTAAAGTGAAAGCAAACAGGCAGAATGAACTGGAATCATGTTGTTTATTTCACTTCGTATATCCAAAATATCATTTTCAAACTGCAATTAAAATAAAATTTTACATCGTGACCTTCGCTCTAAGTCTCCTAAAGCCGGTGTGTGTTTTGCACTTTCAACAGAATTCTGGCCAGCTGCATTTAAATGCTCTGGGGCCACACCTGGCGGATGCTCCTGTCCTGGATGTGACCTAGACTCTGGACTCGCCCCCCCCCCCCTCAACCTACCAAATGTCTCCTAATAGAGGTCTTCATTCCCAAAATGATTGTGTGCTACAGTCAATTTCATTTCTGTTGGTGTATTTAAAAGAGAAAATAAAAATACTTACTAGGGAGTTAAGAAGGGCGAGGAGACACTGAGGTGCCTTCCCACTCTGGAGAAGCTTATCTCTGTCTCTCTGGGGAGCCTGAACTGGAAAGGCCTGATCCTTAGCCTCAGGGCTTAACGTAATGACTTAATTAGCGCCTGCACCCGGCATGTTTGATCTTCAAGGAGCGAGCCCACGTGGTTGAAGCTGCTTCTGGCTTAATTGCCAGAACCGAGAAACTTTGCCCAGAGATAAATGGGGACTTGGTGTCACACCACTGCCAGTTTTTCTGAGACCTTTGCTGACACAGGAGCATAGGCCTGGATTCTGCACTCCAATTCCCGACACCCCCGCCCCCCCCCCTTCTGGGGACATCATGGTGTAGGGGGACAACTGTCCACCTCCCTTTTTTCCAGATGAGGAACCGAGCTGAGGRCAGGCTAGGGACAATTCACACCAAGGAGGCAAGGTCAAGGGCAGAGCAGGATCTTCCCCCTTGGGACTGGGGCCCTAGTAGGTGTGAACTCCAGTCCCGGGGTCACCTGCATGGCTGGTTGGCCTCATCAACCTTCACCTTCCTACCTGGGAACCCTAAGTGATACCAGGGAATCCAGGTTGTGTCTTTATGGAGGAGCCTAGGGACGGGGAGCCTCACTGCTTGCAAATGCCTCACTTTCTCACCTGCAAAATGGGAAGGGATTAGAGCCTGGGGGTTGCCACTTGGGTGTGCAATGAAATTATACAGCGAAAGGGCTTGGCACCAGCCTGGCACAGTCCAAGCCCTCAGTAATGGTTAGTCATCACTACTAATAAATGACAATAATGACGGCAATAATTGAATGTCTATTGGTGCCAAGCCTGGAAGGACAGTGGCCAAGCAGTGAGGATGGTGTGAGGCGGGATTTAAGGTAAAATGAGACTACACCTGTACAAAGCACTGGCCTCTGCCTGTTTCTTAATAGAGGTTGGTTTTCGTGCCCCCCCACCCCCCCATCAGGGAGCACAGGGAAGAGCCCGTCCAAGAATGATTCCTACCCAAGGAATGGCCAAGGCTCTGCCAGCCCTTCCTTGAGTGCCTTTGGTCTTGGATTGTGTTGGGAGGGAACACAGCCAGGGGCAGACGCCGGCCAGTCACCCTGGTTGCGCCCCCACTCGGCCTACTTGGAGCATCTGACACCTTAATTATGGACCCACGGGCACGTCGGGGCGCGCCAGGGACGCCAGAGATAGGCCGGAAGCACCAACTCGGGGGCGACCGGACATCCCGGGCCGCCAGGTGCGCCTTCTCTTCTCACTCACACCTCCTCCCCGCCCTCCGGAGCTGCCCGCTGCGTCCGCTTCTTCTTCTGCCCTAGACAGTAACGCCCAGAGACCCTCTTGCAAGAGTGCCTGCAGCCGGGGTCAAGTTGTCTCCGGGGCGGTGTGGGGACGCGTCTTGCTCAGGAGTCCCGCACTGCACCTCGGTTCGGCGCCCGCGTCTCCCGAGCCTGGGCGGGGATGCCCCGCAGAGCCTGCAGCGCCACACCCACGCGCTTGGGCAGCGGCCGCCCACGCCTCCTCCAACTCTAAAGTATATTTAGCCTCATTATCAAATGTTTGCAGTGAACCGTGTGAACCGCCTAATAGCGGCTGGAAGTGAAACTCGATTCCCAGCCAGGAGAAAGCATGTGACCACTCCCACCGACAGTGCTGGCGGGACAGGTGCTGCGGCCCCCGCGCGCAAAACCCCTCCGGCCTGGCTCCGGTTGCACCGTCTCCTCCGGCGGCGGAGATCCGGAACCCACCTACTCACTCAGCTCCCTTTTCCAGGGCCTGAAAAGGGCACACTGGAGTTCCAATGAGCGGGAGTCAGGGGAGGAAGACTGTGGGGGGGGGAGGAGCCCCCCACCCCGGGCCTGGTTCACGCCCAAGGCCACCATCTCTCGGTTACGTCCTGCGGTGCCTTCATCTCCAGGTTTCAGAAACCTGGGCGTCTAGGGTTCGGCTTTTTCCTATCTTCCGAGGATCTGGAGGAGAACGGGGCGGGGAAGGGGGTCCTAGTCTCTCACCACGGTACTTTGGGAGTTCAAGGCGCTGTGCCTGCGTCCCCCAGGCGGCTGTAGTCCTGCCACACGAGTTCTAGCCACCGCTCGAGTTCTAGCCACCGCGCGGCGGCCACTGTTGTTGTGGTCGCTATGACGACGGGTCGCAGTTTTATTTTTAATAGCGGCCAGCGATTAGAGAGATGSCTGCGCCATGCGCCCCGCAGCTCCTGAGTCGGAGTGGTGCACCCTGGCCCCTATACACCCAGACTGCCGCCCAGGGCGCCCCCTTCCGCGTCCCCAGATAGCCCCCTGCTCCGCCCTTGTCTCCAGCTGGGTGTCCGTGAAGCGCAGGGCGGATAAGGGAGCGCAGGGAAGCGCCCGTCCAAGAACGATTCCTGGGAACCAGCAGCCTCCGTGAGGGGGTTGGGGTCCGGAGGGTGCGGCACCCCGTCCGAAATGCAACGCGACCTTCTTCCTGGATTCCCACACCCACTGTCACACCGGGTCCTCGAACCCCCACGAGGTGTCCTGGGGTCCCCTCTGCTCTCGAGGAGCCCGGGGCTCAGCGGGACATGATGAGCACAGCTCTCAGGATAAGAAGGTGAGGGCTCGACCTGGGTCCAGCCTGGGTCCTGGCAGTGCGCTTTCGGTCGCCTCCCAGAAACCATCCAGTGGGTTGCCTCTCCAAAGTCGCAGAAGGTTCCATCTGGATGGATCAGGCCTGGTTTTCAGGTGCTTCTCGACGTGTCCAAGTTTTCTCTTGTTCTGCCTTTCTGACCACCCGGCGGGGTCGYGGCGAGGGTGGAGGGCTGCGGGATGGTGGAGACCCGAGAGAGCGCTATTTAGACGCCGCAGAAGTGCCGGGAGAGTCCCCACCCTTCAGGTATTTGGGGGAAAGCGAGCGTCACCAAAGCCCCTCTCGACTCAAGATTCCGAAATGCGGGAGCGGCACGCGGGGCTGCGCGCCTTTCCTGCGGGTCCAGACGGAGGACTGCGCGCCGGAGGCACGATTCATTTACAGGAAGGGGGTGATGGCTGGGGCCGGCAGAATTCTCCTCGGCTGCCCCTCACCCACCGGGCGTCTCTTACTCTCCAGCTTAGGTCGTCTACTTTGGGGGTCCCCAAGAATAGCCACCCCCAAACCCGGTACCTGGGAAGTACGCCCCCTCGAGGGAGGGACACTGGCAGGCATCTGGTGCTACCTTTCGGGACCAACCCCACTTGGTCTAGACTGGCGATATCCACAGCGCCTGGACACACCCGCTTTTTGGCCGCGGGGGAGCGGTTCAGCCCTGCTCAGACCTAGTCTGCGCGCGTCGCTCCCCCGCGTCGCGCCCTGTGCTGAGCCGTGGCCGGAGGTGGCGCTCTGTGAGCCCCGCGGCTCCCGACGCAGAACCCAGGAGCTCCTCCTGAGCGTCTCCTTTCTCTTCTTTCCACCTCTCGGTTCCCAGCTCAGGGTGCAGCCCAGCCTTCCGCGAGGGAGTGGGGACTCGGGGGGTGCGGGGTTCACAAGAGAGAGATGAGGCAGGCTGCAGTCCCCTCCCTGACCAGGGTTCGTTCCCACCTCGAAATGTGGGTGGAGGTTCCTTTTTCAGGTGCCCAGGCTTCGGATCCTGGGCGGGGGCGCGTGGCAGCCGCCAGGTGAGTGCCCCAGACGCGCCCTTAAGCCAGCCCCACCTCTCCCTAGAGACTCACTCCCCCTCCTTTTATGGAGAGGGGGAAGGCAGGGGCCCTGGATCCAGACGGTGGAAAGCGGCCGAGCGCCGGGGCGGGGGCCGGGCCGGCTCTCGTGCCCTTTTTGGCGCAGCAGCTCTGGGCGCTGCCCTCTGCTGCTGCTGGGGCCCGGGAGAGGCGAGCCGGCGGCGGCAGCGCTTCTGCGGCGGCCTCCTCCCCTCCCCGCCCGGTGCCGCAGGATTGCAGCTGGCACTGGAGGGTGGGCAAGCTCGAGGGAGGGGCGCGCGGGGAACCCTGCCGCCTGTGCTCGGAGCCGGGCGCCGGGCTTTGATGGATTTGGCTGCCTGCGTGAACGCGAGTGTGCTCACTGCAGTAGCGGTGGCGGCCTGGCCCTGCCGGGCCCTCAAGACCCCCCGCACGCTTCCGAGGTGCGGGTCCCGGGCCCGGAATCCGCGGGAGGCGGGGGGCGGGGGCGGGGGAGGGGCGCGGCGGCGGCGCTATAACCCCCTCCCCGCCGGCGGCCGGCTCCACACGCGCGCCCTGCAGAGCCCGCAGAACTCCGGCGAGCCGGACCTGCCTGAGCCGCCCTCCTCCTCCTCCTCTCCCCGCGGCTGCTGCTGCTGCGGCGGCGGCGGCGGCGGCGCCGGCTCGGCCCTGCGCCCGCCCTCAGGCCCGCGCGGGCGGCGCAGCGAGGCCCTGGGCGGTCGGCGGCTGCCAGGCGGCGCGGCCGCGGGCGCTGCCCGTTCTCGGCCGGCGGAGGGCGGAGCGCAGCGCCGTAGCCGAGGGCGCGCCGCGGCGGGGCGCACGCAGGCCTCCGGGCCGCGCSGTGCTGGGCCGCGCTGTGCCCGGCCGGGCGGCGGCAGCAAGAGGAGGCCAGARGCGAGCGCGGGCCGGCGGTAGGCACGCAGAGCTTCCTGCAGCCCGCAGGGAGAGCGCGAGCCGGCAGCTGGGGCCCGGCTGGGCGTCCAGACAGGTGATCGGTGGTGCGGCAGCGGCCCCAGCYTCGCTCCGGTGTCCCTCTCGGGGCCGATGCCCTCAAATATGCGGAATTACCGGCCGGGTCGCTCCTAAAGCCAGCGCCGGGGAGCGAGCGCGGCGGCGGCCAGCACCGGGAACGCACCAAGGAAGAAGCCCAGCCCCCGCCCTCCGCCCCTTCCGTCCCCACCCCCTACTCGGCGGCCCAGGAGGTTCCCGGCGCTGCAAGCGCGCTCTCCCTGTTCCTCCTCCTCCTCGCTGGCGCCGCACTCACTGCTCGCGCCGAGCGCGCTCCGCCTGCTCCTTGCTCTCCGCGCCACCCTCCTCCGGGCCGCGTTCCCTGAGGGATGGTACTGAATTTCGCCGCCACAGGAGCCCGGCTGGAGCGCCCGCCCTGCGGCCTCGCCTCCCCGCCGAGCCGCCAGCGCCTCGGGACGCGATGAGGACCTGGGCTTGCCTGCTGCTCCTCGGCTGCGGATACCTCGCCCATGCCCTGGCCGAGGTGGGTGCCACCCCCGCGCCCTGTCCCCCCTTTCGTTCCCCCGGCGCACGCCCCCCGCGGGCCCGGGCGCCCAGACTCTGCAGAAAGCATTTAGATTTCTACTAGACTGGTCAATTTTAAAATTTTCTCAACTGGGTTCTATTTTCTGCCATGCCCAAGTGTGTCTAGTGAGTCTACAGCGTGTTGCGTCGCTCTGCCTCGAAGGGACGGCGGAGCTACGAGGTGCAGAGTGGGGAGAAAGTTCGGGGGGCGCGGGCGCGTCTTCAGGGAGGGGTAGCCGGGTCGTGGCAGGCAATGCAATAACGGGGTGCGGGCAGCAAAGAAGGGGGTGTGTGTGAGCTGGTGGAGCCCAGGGAGAGAAGCTGGGCGGCCAGTAAACAGGTAGAGGCAGCTGCGGCGGAAGCCCCAGGCTGGGCAGGGTGGGCATCGCCGAGTCGCAGCCCCGGTCGAGATTCCCAAGCCCGGCGGGGCGCAGGGCCCGTGCAGTCCGGCCCGCCTGGGGCCCTGCTTACAGGTGGCTGAGCGAGGCAGCTGGGGCCGGGCCAGGCGCCCGCGCCCTCCCACCGCTGGCGTCCCCCCACCCCCCGCCCCTGAGTCCCCAGGAGCTTTGCCGTGATGAATGACTTTCCACAGCCTCTGTCGTGGGAACTTAGTGCTTGCGACCCCCGACTCCCTTTAAACACCGGGCGGGAGAGTGGGGGAGGCTAAGTGGTGGGGGTGGGCTGGGAAGGGACCCGAGAGCCAGAGGTGGATATTTAACCCTCGCTTTCCCTGCAGCCTCTCCCGCCGCCGCTGGATTTGGGCGTCCTAGTCGGCGCTAGGGCCGCGGCTGGGCCGGAGTCGGGTGGGGCGAGCGCGCGCGCGCGTGCGTGTGTGGTGAGGGGAGACCCTCTTCTCCAAGAGCTCGGCCCGGGATTCCAGGGCGTGAAATTTAAGCCCCTGGCTAGATTAAAGTGTTAGAGCTGCCGCGACTTTCGTCGTCGATCCGTGACGCATTTCGACTCGCTTTATCTAGATGTGGATTTCACTATTAAACCAGAAACTCCGCGGCCCCCTCACCTCCCCCAGACCTGTAACTGACACCCCAGGCGAGGGCTGGAGTGTGGGGGCTTTTGTTCCAGCAGTAAAGGCGGTAGTGGGGTCTCTTTTTGCAAAGGGCAGACAGGGATGGGGGCGGAGAACTTGGGGACTCAGCCACTCCACCCTCGTCTCGGACTCCACTCCACCGCCCGGGCGGGGTCCGTGTGGGCTGCGGTGGTGCAGCCCCCTCGGGCCTGGCAGGAGGCCCTGGGCTGCTGGACGCGCGCCGCAGGCGCTGACCGTGTGGTCTGCTTGCAGGAAGCTGAGATCCCCCGCGAGCTGATCGAGCGGCTGGCCCGTAGTGAGATCCACAGCATCCGCGACCTCCAGCGACTCCTGGAGATAGACTCCGTAGGTAAATCGCGCCCCTGCCCTTGGCGCGGGGAGGGCGCGGGTGGCGGGCGGGGAGTCTGCGCGGAGCCGCCCCCCGCGCGGCCCGGCCGGGCGCAGCTCAGGAGCGCACCGAAAGGTCAGAATCCATTCCCCGGCCATAAACGCCCAGGCGCATGAGTCAGGCGTTTCTCCTCCAGTCGCCACTTTCTCTCCCAGCGGCGGCCGAGGGCTGGTTGCTCACGGGGGGGGATTGTTTTCGCAGTTAAGGAAAAAGCCGCGTGTCATGAGAAGTTCAGCCGCAGCAGCGGAGAGGGCGCCCGGCTCCGCCGCCAGGTGTGCGGGCTGCGGAGCGCGGGATTATTCGGGGTGGGCAAAGCCCTGGTTCGTGCACCTGGCCCGCCGCCCACCTGGTTAAACCCTGAGGGGCGCGCGGCCGGTGGGGCCAGGGCCCTTTAGTAAGCACTGCGTACGGGTGCTGCGCTTCCCGCGGGGCTGGGCCTCTGTGTGGCTGCCGGAGGCCGGTGTCTTTCTCTTTTCACGACCCAATAAAAAGGCACGCCTAGGACACATGTGCTTGGGGCTATTTTGGGGACTCACTCCAGGAGTCTGGAGCTCAGCCACTTCAGAAAACAGTTTACTTGTAGATGTAGAGTTTTGAAGCTCTGGTTGCGCTGTGGGCTAGATCCAAGGTTGCAGGAGTTAAAGGGGTCTCTGCAGTGGGGGCAGTGGTGGTGCTGGGGGCTGTGCTCTCCSAGAACTAGAGAGCCGGTGCTGGAGGACCAGGTTTCCTCTAGGTCGTTTGTGGCGCCATTTTCAAAATTAACACTTTGGAACTCCATCCTGAGTTAACTAGGGAGGTACTCAAGCGGGAAAATGTACTGACTGGCTTTTTAAAAAGGCCTGAGATGAACTTGTCAAGAAGAGGAATGAAAGGCAGCCAAAGTGAAGAATTTTAAGTGAAATGAAGATTTTTTTTCTCTCACTGCAACTACTCTAGAAAGGGGGGTGGTGGGGGAATTAAGTAGAATCACATGGTCTAGTCATTTGGAAATTTGTACCTAATTATGATGGTGGAGAGGCCCAAACTGTTTTCATTCCATGCCAAAACCATTTTCTAACAAGGCGGCTGGTTTCTGTAGTTTCTTGACCCAGGAAATCCTTCTCCTGATCCTTATCAGGAGTGGGGTAGGATTTCACTTGGAGATCAGAGTTGGGCCAGGGGATTTTGACCCAGTCCCTTGATGTGCAAGCCTGGGGGCGAAGGGTTTGGTTTGGGAAACTGGGGAAACACTCACTTGGCATTTCACTGGTCCCTGGTGGATCTGGAGACATGGAGACTGCCTTTCTTTGAGGGTTCCAGGGCTTTGCTTTCCTCTTGCTTTGTGGGGGTGAGACCTTGTTGGGCTGGACCTCCTGTAGGTTAGTCTTTTTGGATGCGGCCATTCACTTTCTGCTGGGACCATTCTTATTCTGGTCTCTGGAGCCCCGCCTCCCCCACCCCACCCCCACCCATTAACGCTTTTAGCAGCTCTGTGGGGTTTGCCCATGGAATTCCTGACCTGGGGGCTTCTGGGCTGGAGCCTTTTTTGGAGAATCCCAAGGGAAAAGCCAGGGTGCACTGATAGTCCTCAGGCTGTTTTCAAATTGCCCCTATAAAAATGTCCTGTGAGGGGAACTGCCTGTCCCTTCTGTCCTGGGGAATGCAGGGATGAGTCCTAGGACTCCTGTCCACCTGTCAGACATTTGGGTCTGCACAGGATTCTCTGAGTGCCTGGGGAACTCTGTGAGAGTGCATTGAGGGCCTCTGGAGCCCATCTTGCTCCTTAGTCTTGGTCTGGGGTGAGGACCCTTTGTGACAAAAACCCCAAAGTATCTCTCTTCTCTCCCTGGTTCACCTCCCCTCCCCCAGGTGTGGAAGCAGAAGAGTCCCTGAGCAGAGGACAGGAATGGCCTGTTGGCTTCTGAACTTGTGTTGGGTTCTTCCTGCCCCCACCCCTCCACCTTCCTGACTGAGGGGATTTGTAGACAGCCCCGGTGGCCAGGTTTCTGGGCCCTGGCCTCCCCCTTAAGTCTACTCAGAGGTACATCTGGCCTGTTGGGGGTACCCTGGTCTGGCAAGAGCCATTTAGAAGGCTGGGGTGGATGAGGAAAGGTCAAGGGCTGGGAGAAGCTCAGTTTGACTAACCCACTGTGGGGCTCCCCGGAGGGTGGTCCTTAGGAGAACTCTTGCTGATAGGTTTCTCCGGGGCAAGTCTATAGTATAGGGAGAGGGTAAGAGGCTTTGGGTGTCCCGGGTCCCACCTTGAGTGGGTGGAGCTTTGTGATAGACAGTCCTTTTTGTATTCTCYAAAAGAGGTTCCAGCCCAGAAGCCCCCAGATCAGGAATTCTAAGGGCAAACCCCACAGAGCTGCAATGCTAATCACATATCCAATAAGCCAGCTGCTCCCCATTTTACAGATGAGAAAACTGCGTTCAACCTGATAGCTCCTCCCTCATGTGTCCAGACCTCCAGAGGCTGTGGGGTTCCTGGCCCAGAATGTCACCGAGCTGGGAGTGTTCCATAGTGTACCGGATAGGCGGGGGATTTGCATAGTGTACAGTATGGAGGGATTTGCCTGTGTCTTTCAGTGACCAGCAGTCATGGAGTTTGGGGACTGTGTGGCTAGATGGATGTTCTCCAGAGTGGTCTAGCTGGATGTCCAGTGGGTCATTGAGTAACTGATACACAAATATCCCTATCCTGGCCATTAAGACCTGACTGGGGCAGAGCATGAGGAGTCTTCTGTCTTRTGAATTGCCATGTGTCATCTTGTGGACACTTGCATCTCAGACCAAAGGGAAACTGCTTGGTGAACTGTCCCGAGAGTGGTTTCAGGGGATGATTCACGCAGGGCTCTCAGGGGTCTCATTTAAATTACTGCCAGAGCATAAATCAGCCATCATAAATCAGACTGGCTGTGTCCCCCAGAGCAAGGGTCTGCTTTTGGCTTGTGACCACCCATCTTGACCCAGGAACAGAGGGCAGGCTTGTCTGAGTTAAGAGCGGCTSGCACTGTCTTATCTCTAAGGAGATAAAGTATCAGCGTTGCTGAGCTTTGAGGACCAAAATTCTCTCAGTGCATTAAAATTGGGCCAAGGGGCCTGGGGTGGGAGTCTGAACCACTGGACACCGGTCCTGAGGGTCCTTTCATGAGCCATCTGTCCTTGTCTTGTTGCATTTCTTTGGGCCCAGGTTTCCTTGGGCGTGAAAGGCTGATGGAGCCTTTACTTCATACCTGTAAAGGTTAAGACTCAGGGAAGCAATTGAGCCAGCCTGATGGTAGAAGGGGTCAGAAGGTGCCCTTGCTGAGTCTCCAGAAGCTGAGAGTGGACCTGGTTGGTTTGGCCATGGCAAGATGGGTACCACCAGGACATGACTCACAATGTCGCTTTTCCATGAAAAAATGCTCCTTGTGACAATTGGTTGATGGGAAATTCTTATTGCATGAGTAGTTGTGTTCTGATCTTATTTTGGGTCTCCCAAAAAAAAAAAAAAAAATCAGTGACATTGGAACATTGAGTCATTTTTGAAGTCAAAAGTTGGGCTCGGCCCGGCCTTCATCTTGGACTTTCATACCTGATACAAGGCTTTTCGTTCTCATTTTAATTGTGTAGGTTCCGTACATCTCGGGTAAGTGGAGGAGGCCAGGGTTTCTGCAGATGGCTGTGGATGCTTGGGTGGGTGGGCCAGAGCGACCTTGGGCTGCACATCTGACACTGGGGTGGGCTCCTACCTGGGCTAGGAGATGGGACGTCCTTTGAGCTGGAGAGGAGAGGAGGCGGCAGGATAGGATCCAGCAAATCTTGGAGAGTCCTGGCTATTGGACACACGTCCTGGGACTTCCTGCTACATCTGGAGGGCCCAGGCTGGGGGGCCAGGTAGGACCGACGATAGCTAGGTATGGGTGGTGTTGGACTCCTCCGTCCATGTGACAGGTGGTAGGGCTGTGTTCTTTTTCAGTCCCAGAAATTGGAGCGCCGAGACTCAGGGCTATGATCTCTGTGGCCCTCCTCCTTCTGCACTGTGTGGGGCTGGGGTTCTCCGTGTGGTCTTAGTGCTGGGCTGTTGCTCTTTGACCGGAGCCATCTGGGCCCCCACTGCCTAGACATGGCTGCAGGCATGTGGGTGAGATCTACTTCCCTTTCTGCAGACCACCTCTGCCTTCTCTGCCTGGCACCGTGACTCCTGCCTCAGGCCTTCGGCCACTCCCTAGTTACACTCCACGAGCCTACGTGCTGCCCTCCTGCCGTTTTCTCATGGCCTCTGGCCCTCAGCGCAGACTTATTTCAGGAACAAGTAGGGGCTGGCTCACAGCCCAGTCTGGCCTAGCTTCTGATGCCCCTCCAAGGTTAGGACACTTCATCCAGCAGGAGCCTCAGTAGCCCCATCTTTCAGTGCATTACTATGGCTGTGGTAGAGCCCAGGAGATGGACCCCGCTGGGTGGTACAGCCTCTTGGCTCTGGGATAGATGGCCTCAGGGACTTTCTGACCTGGTGGAACCCTCAGTTTGGCTTCATTGGAGAAGGTGTCCTAGAGGAGACCCCCTGGAACCCCTTCCTGAAAGGGTCTCAGCTTTTCCACGGGCCTAGCAGGGACCCTTGTGTTTCGGGGACCTCTGTGTTGATGGGACATTGTTGGTCTGGTTGTGTTTCATTCACTGCCCATCTGGAAAGCCCTGAGTGGAGGTAGAGGGCTCAGGGGACTCCACCTGTCTTGCTAGGAGAGGGTTGGGCTGAGCTTTCTGGCCCTTTGTCCCCGGGAGGCTCTGAGAGCTGACTGGGGGATCCTGTATTTCAGGCCCCCCGGGCAGACAGACCACACAGGCGTGGACAGTTGGTCTCCATGTTCTCTTTCTACCCATAGGAGCCGAGGATGCCTTGGGAACCAGCCTGAGAGCCCACCGGGCCCACGCCACCAAGCATGCGCCCGAGAAGCGGCCTGTGCCCATTCGGAGGAAAAGGAGCATCGGTGGGTTCAGGAGCTGCGCGGGTGGGAGGAGCTGGCCATGAGACAAAGGCTGGGCTTGCTCCTCCAGCTCTGGCCTCCTGCCCTCTCGGAGGCTGCCCTCCTCCACCTCCATGCGGTGTCTCCTGCCTGCCTTGTGCTGCAGTCATAGTCCCGGCCAAGAGTTTCCAGGAGAGGAGAGCCATCATAAATTCTTTAAGTGCCCCGTCTTGTTGGGGCCTGTCTACGTGGAGGCCTTGCTGGAAAACGTGGCTGAGCTTAATTTCCAGTTCCTAATGTGAAGCACCAGGGCCCTGGGCCTCTAGCCACAAGACGGGTGCAGCCGGGTATGCCAGGCCTGGGGCCTCTGGAGACACCTTCCCTAGGGCCCTGCCCAACTCATCTTTGTCTCTGGGGCTCCAGGCAGGCCTCCTTTGGGGAACAATGTTCTGAATAGCTGGCCTGTGCTCTCGGGGTTGGGGTGACCCACTCAGTCCCATTCTATTTGAGGGTGCCACCGCTTATTGTAGGGCTGCTCATTGCTGTGTGACTCTGGGGCAAGTGGATCCCCTCTCTGAGCCTCAGGCACCCACAAGAAGGTAGACTTTTATGTCTTTCACCATGGGTGTGYTATGTAGGTGATTTCTAGGTACACTGAGCAGGGGACATTGCTCGTGCCAGCATGCATTTTATACCCTTCAGATCAGACTGTAGCCAGGTCCCTCCATCCAGTGCTCAGGATTCCTAGTCCAGGTTGGGGGTGGGTGGAAGCCCCTGGACTTGGGGGCTTACTGTGGGCAGTGTGGGGTGACTCCTCCTAAATGCCCAGATCAGCATGTGCAGCCCAGGGCCTGGGGGCTTCTCTGGAGGACTCTCATGCCTACTCCTCCTACCTGCTGTGTCAGGAGGCCCTCAGGGTCTCCCCCCCCCTGTGGACAGGAAGCAGGTGGAGGAACTGACCGCCTCCCCTGGCCCTGTGTTAGAGCCTTCAGTTCAGTTCAGTTCAGGCGTATCTGTTTCCTGAGGGAGCCTGCAGGAGATGGGGCTGCTTGCCCTGGAGTGTGGGGACTGTAGTGTGTGCACACAGGTCACGCACCCTACGAGTGCCAGTCTCCCCCTGGCTGGCCTGCTGGGCTGGGCCTCTTGCCCCTAGCTGCTTCCAGCTTCCTCAGCTTTTAACCTGGGGTCCAGATAGGCCCACCCTGTTGCTGGGGGCAGAGGGAGCAGGCTGTGGGTGGCCCCAGAGCCTGTCCAGGCCCCTTGGCTCCTGGCTGGGTTCCCTAGGCATGTTGAGGGGACAGAATTTCCCACTGGCAGGCCTGGGGCGGCTCATGACCCATGACTGGGCCTGGTGGCTGATGTGGCCTAGTAAGGGTTATCTGGGGAGGAAGATGTGTACCCCAGAGTCCTGTGAGGAACTCACACCTGGGAGACAGATGAGGTCTTAGGGCTGTGGTGGCTGTACTGAGGATAGCAGGGCAAGAAGTGGCTACAGCCTTCTCCTTGGGGGCCATCGGGGTGGCCTCTTGGTGACCTTTGTGGTTAGGCCCTAGGTGGTGTGGGGCTTGCTGCTGGGCCTGATCCCCTGCCCTCCTCCTCCTTGGCTGCTGTGTGTGAGGTAGGCCCAGTGTGGCCAGGGGCTGCCCAGGGCTTCCTTTGGGGGTCTTTGCTAGTAGCCCTGTCTTCTTCCCTGGCTCCCAAGTGGGTGCTGGGGACCCAGTGTGCCAGCTCCCGTGAGAGGCATCAGGGATGTGGGGTCAGCTCCTTCCCAGGCTGGGCCCGGTTAGGCTGGATGGCGTCAGGTGGGGTCAGGAAGGGCATGTACACTTCGCTGTGCTGTGCTGACAGAAATGGAAGCGACCCCTGTGTCACCATGCGTTTGCCTCTGCAGAGGAAGCCATTCCTGCTGTCTGCAAGACCAGGACGGTCATTTACGAGATACCTCGGAGCCAGGTGGACCCCACGTCTGCCAACTTCCTGATCTGGCCGCCGTGCGTGGAGGTGAAGCGCTGCACCGGCTGCTGCAACACGAGCAGTGTCAAGTGCCAGCCCTCGCGGGTCCACCACCGGAGCGTCAAGGTGAGCCACTGCAGCAGTGCGGCACAGGGTCTGCTGGATGTTCTTTTTCCTTTCCTGGGGATTGTTGAACCCAGAGGGGCTTTACCTCTGAGCCACATCCCTGGCCCTTTTTATTTCTGAGACAGGAGTCTCACTAAGTTGCTTAGGGCCTTGCTAAGTTGCTGAGGCTGGCTTTGAACTTGTGATCTTCCTGCCTCAACCTCCCCAGCCTCTGGATTTACAGGTGTGCACCAACATCCTCGGCTGCTAGGTGCTCTTATGTGGTGAAGGATAAGAAGCAGCATAGGTAAGACCAGGTGGAAGGGGATTAGGGCCTAGTGACCTGGTTGGTGTTGTTGCCACCAGGCTGTGGTCACTAAGGACCAGCACACAGCTGGCTACAAAGCTGTCTCCTAGGCAGGGCCCAAGATATGGTGGCCCCTGAGTCAGCCTTGGGGAAATCAGCATGGTCAAGGTTTCTCTTTCACCCTTGCAGTCCTGGGGCAGATTTTGCTGCTTTAGGTCCCTCTGGGCAGCTGGATTGGCGCTGGTAAGCTTTCAGCCTGATTTATGGATGTGGGCACTGAGTCTGGTGGCACATGTCCATCTGAATGGCTCTGACATGGGGGAGGCTGGCCTCCCTGTTGAATGGAGATTTCCTGTGTCATGGTCTGGGCATGGCCTTCAGAAGGACTTTGGAAAGCAGGTGTTTTGGGTGTCTCTGGGCTCCTAGGAGGCTGGCTGAGGCTGGAGTCCTTGGGATTCCCATCTGGGGGCTAGATACTCCTAGGGCTCTGCAACCTGGAGATTGAGATACCACTATGTCCTATATGACTGACTCTCAGGATAAGCAAATCCAAGCCGGGGGTGTGGCAGGCTTGCCAGCAGAGCAGGCCACTTTGGCTTAGCCAGGCTTTTAAGGCAGGGCCYACTTTTCCTGGATAAAGGGATTCCTGGAAGTATGGCTGAAGTTTCATTTCTTGGGCAAGGTTGGAATTCATTCCTGACTCTAGGAAAAAACCATTCAGATTCTACCATGTGCATGTCCCTGGAGGGAATGCTGGGAAATGGTTAATGGTTTGCTTAAAGGACCCCTTGCCAGGTCTTAGACGCAGGGTGGGATACCTTAGACTTTTGGCTGAGACTTGACTTTTTTTAAAATTTTTTTTGTTACTAGGGATTAAACCCAGGGATACTTAAATACTGAGGTACATCCTCAGTCCTTTTTAATATTTTATTTAGAGACAGGATTTTTTTGTTGTTGTTTTGTTTTGTTTTTTAAAAGAGAGAGAGGAGCTGGGGATGTGGCTCAAGCGGTAGCGCGCTCGCCTGGCATGTGTGCGGCCTGGGTTCGATCCTCAGCACCACATACAAACAGGGATGTTGTGTCCGCTGAAAACTAAAAAAAAATAAATAAATATTAAGAACAATTCTCTTTCTCTCTCTCTCTCTCTCTCTCTCTCTCTCTCTCTCTCTCTCTCTTCTCTCTCTCTCTCTATCTCTCTTAAAAAAAAAGAGAGAGAATTTTTAAAAAATATTTATTTTCTTTTAGTTTTCAGCAGACACAACATCTTTGTTTGTATGTGGTGCTGAGGATCGAATCCAGGCCACACGCATGCCAGGCGAGTGCGCTACCGCTTGAGCCACATCCCCAGCCCTAGAGACAGGGTTTTGCTGAGTTGCTTAGGGCCTTGTTAAGTTGCTGAGGCTGGCTTTGAACTCGCAATCCTCCTGCCTCAGCCTCCCGAGTTGCTGGGATTCCAGGTGTGCATCACTGGGCCAGCCAGCTAAGACTTATCTTGATCTCCAGGACTTGGTCCTCACAGAGCCCTGGAAGTTGAGTGAGCAAATTCCACATCTTGCTGCAGGATCTCCCAGACAGGCACTCCCCTTCAAGGGCCCAAGGGTTTCCCTGGGCTCAGGGCTTGTCTGGGGAACTCTCCTGTCTGTAGGTCAGACACTGGAGGCTGACTCACTTCTCCAGGCTTCAGTGGCCAGGAATCTCTCCCTTAGCGTGAGCCCAGGCCATCTCTCCTTGTGTGACCCTGGCCCTTTCCTTGGGCCTCAGGGTTCTTATCAGTGGTATGTTGGTGGTGGCAGGGTGGCAGCGGGGGTGGGGGGTGGGGTCACATAGTCCTGAGAGGCTGGGATACCTGCTGTCTCCTGGGCTCAGGCATAGGTCAGATCCAGGTGAGATGTCTTATGTGGGCACTGGGCACTGAGGGGCTGGGCTTGTTCCTATGGCCTCCAGCTTCTGGGACTTCCCACATTCCCACCTTTGTTTCTTTTGGGGTGAGGACAAAGAGTGTCCATTCCCGGCACGGTAGTGGTGCCTCCCTCCCTGGTCCCTAGTGAGCCAGGTAGGTTCGAGGTCTTTTGGCCTGGTGCCCTCAGAGATGCCCTCCCTGGGAAAGGCCCCTTCTGTGCACTATGTAGGGGTCATGCTTTTCGGCCCTGTGGGTCTTGTCTGCCCAGTAAGGTTGTGGCCAGCCTGAGGGGATAGAGTCTTGCTGCCGGAGCCTAGCTCTCCCTCCTGGGAAAATTCTCCTCCTGTTCACCCATAAGTCTTCAGGGGAACATCTGGCCCTGGACACTGGGGGCTGTTGTAGAGGCAGGGAGGTCAGCAGGAACTGGAGGCCCATGGTGGAAGCCAAGCAGGAGGCCTGTCCTGACCTGGACAGAGGCACATGGGCCTGGAACATGGACTTATTTGGAGCCAAGCACTTGTGTATGTGGACAAGGGACCAGCCGGGTTCAGGGGGAGCTGGGGAGGCCTATGGCAACCCTGTCCACCTGGAACTCCAGTCTTTATGGTCTTTGGAAGAAGGGCAGCCTGGGCTGGTGAATCAGGCTCTGGGAGTCTGGTGGTGTGGCTGGGGTGGATGGCCAGTCTCCTGTGACTTCTAGGAGGAAGCTCAAGTACCCAGGTGTATTGGCTACTGCCCCAGTTCAGCGTGGCACCTGGGCTGGGATTTCCTATCTCTTGTGGGGACGTGTAGAGAGGAGGCCTCTCTGTAGGCCTAGCACCTGCAAGGATTGCTAGGCCATCATTGGCCATCAGCCCTGGGGAGAGGCCACCAGGGGTCTTAGCCATGCTTCTCTGACCTGCTTCACGTTGTCAGCATCTCCTCCAGACCCCTATCACAGGGGTTGGTCGAAGGGAGCAGAAGTGGGTGTCGGTGCTACTGGACAAGCCTGGCCTAAAGAGCTGTCCCAGTGGTTTGGCCTGGACAGAGCTGAGGCCCAAAGTCCTGATCCAGAGTGAGTAGCTTTTCACCTGGCAGTGTCCACCCCTGGCCTGCACTGGTTGGGGGCCACTCTGAGGTGAGGGATGGGGACCAGCTCTGAGCTGCCATCTGCTCTGGCCCTGCCAGAAATGGAGCCTGCTCTTGATGCCYAGGAAAGCTTCAGGTTGGTGCCTTTTAAGGCAGCCTCAAGAACAGGGGCTGGGGCATCGGTGCATTGATTCAGTTGGATCATCTCCACAGCAGCACCCGGCTCTGGCTGGGCTGTGGCTCTGCTGGGCAGGACCTCAGGCTTCTGGAAAAGTCTTCTCACCAGGCACCAAGGATGGGCCTCTCTCCCTGGTGGAGGCCAGAATGGTGTTCTGGGGGAGTTCCCAGTGGGTCCATCATTCATTGTTGGGGTCCTGTGCAGGGTCTGGGGAAGCGGGGGTGGTAGTAGTAGCCTTGGTCTCTGGTGAAGGGGTCTCAGCATCCTTCCCTGTGTGTGGGAGACAGGGGCACTAGGAGGCTGAGTGGATAGTGGTGCCTGTCAGGCTGTGAGCCCCAGAGTCTGGAGTCACTGCATTTGAGATGCTGGGTTGGGCCCTAGGAGCAGGCCCAGCAGGGCTCCTGTTTGAAGTCTGGTGTTGGCCTCCCTCCTGGGTTGGGGGAGAACACATGCGGGGCCTGTAGACCCATGGCTCACTCCTGGAGGGCTTCAGTGGGGTTTGGCTAAGCAGGGGTCTTCTGGATTTGGAGAGATCTCCATCCCTAGAAAACAGAAGGGTCTGGGATTTGAAGCCTGGGGACCCTGAGCGGGGCTGCCTGCTTGTCTATACCATTTCCTCCTGTAAAATGGGCCACATGGTGCTCACGCCTGCTGTAAGGGTCACACTGCTGGGCTCAGTAAATGGGAGTTTGTATCTGCTCTGTCCCGAAGCTCTGGAATGGTCAGGACCATCCCTCAGGGGAGGTCTCTGAAGGGTGACAGTGACCGGAGGATTTTGGTGGCTTTACTAGGGTGGATATAAGTGGATGTCTTTGAAAGAATGGGAATTAGGATGTYGGGTGTGAGAAAGTGCAGCCCATTTGTCCCAGAAAGAGGAGGAAGGGAGGGAGGGACCGAGTGCTGAGGGCACAATGACCCAAACTGGGAACTGGGTGGGGCCTTAGAGCCTGAATAGGGATCCCCAGAACGTAGTAGTCTCTATTTTCAGAATTGGCTTTCGTGAAGAAGGCTTTTGAGAATTTAATATTCGTAACGTGTTCTTGGGAGAAAAATGTAGCCATTTCCTGGCCAGACAGAGGTGGTGGAGCAGCCAGAACTCTCGCAGACCCAGGAGCAGGTGCAATCATAAATCGCTGTCTGTTTTTCTCTGATAAACATGGGGCTGTCTAGAGAGAAAGCGTTCCCCCAGACTGGAGCGGCCCCATCTGTGTCCCTCTGGGACCACAAGGGTGGCATTGCTGAGACCCCACCCTGTTCACGGCACCCACCTGTCTCTGGAGAAGAGCCAGCCTGCTACCAGCTTGGGGGTTGGGGGTGGGCCTGGTGGGTGGTCTTGGCCTAGCCCAGRCCCTAGTGTCTGCCCTGCTGGGGCATCTACTGTTGATCAAAAAGGCTGTGCCACCCGGAGGGCTGAGGCCAAGAGCAAGACAAGTACCTTGCCTGAGCCTGACCCCAGGGCTCTAATAGCCCTGCCCTGTTCCCCTCGACCACCACAGAGGCCAGGGGTGTCTGGGAGCAGAGCATCCACCCAGACAGAGCCCCCTGGGAGGGGGAAGGCTACTGGGCTCAGTTTTGTGCTTATATCACGCAAAAGCCAATTCAATTGTGAAAATAGAGACTACAACATTTTGGAGAGCCCCACTCAGGCCCTGAGCCCCGACCCAGTCCCCAGGCAATTAGCTTGGAGACAGACTTGGAATCTGATTCCTGGACAGTGGGGGTAGGGCTGGGTGCAGGGTGAATGAACCTCTGCTGTTCTAGAGTCTTGCTGAGGAGGGGGACTGTCCCATCCTCAAAGGGAAGGTCTCTGAGACACTGCTCTGCTGGCTGGGGGCCACAGCTGCTGTGTGGAGCTTGAGGACTGGAGAGGGGGCCTTGCTGGAGCCCCTGGGGGTCTCTAGGCCTGGCCTCTCTGAGCAGAGCCTGGGCTGGTTTTGGGGGAGTGGGGTGGGCCTCATGTTGAGACATTGTACGTGTGGCACTGGCTCTGTCCAGTCCTGGGCACCTTATCCCTCCCCAGCTCCCTGGTGGGTGTGCTTAATGTCCCCATTTCACAGGAGAGGCCAACAGTGTCTGAGGGCACAGCACAGCCCATAGGCTCCTCCTCCTGGGCCATGAACCTGGGGAAAGAGGGCAGGAGTAGGTTGGCCGAGGCCGCTGCACGCAGGTACCTGGTGGAACACCCTGGCAGGGAAGCCCGGGCACGGCCTACGCGCCTTCCTCCCGGCCAGCATCTCTCCCACCTCCTGACGTAGCGAAACCTTCAGGGCTGACCCCTGGCCCCCAGCCACGCCCTGCAGTCTGAGCTCATACCTGGCAGCCTGTGTTCACACCTGAGAGCCCACGCCAGTCCATACGCCCGCCAGGCACCCGGCACCCTTTGCACTCCAGGTTAATCATTAGCTCAGCCGAGGTGGCAGCCACGGCAGGGTTCAGCAGAGCCTGGTCCCCAGCACCTCAGGGTTGGCTTTACCTGCCTGTACTCCAGGTGGCAGGCAGGACAGCCCAGTGGTTAGGGTCAGACTGCAACTCTTGCTTTCAGGACCATCTTGGCTTCCCCAAACCTCAATTTCCTTTTCTGGCCATGGAGATGATACTCCTGTCTCCTTGGAGGGTCTGAGGGCTAAATGAGTGTTGGTTTTTGCACTTGACCAAGGGGAGATSGGCTTCTCTGGGCAGACAGTTCCTCATCTGTGCTGGAGTGAAAGGAGCTGCTGGGGGGACGCTGCATGGGTGGACTTGCTTCCCATAATGGGGGGTGTGCATTATGGACGTGTGTGCATGGCCGTGAACTTGCTTCTCATGGTGGGCATGTGTGTGTGTTATACAGGTGCACATGGAAGTAGAGCTGTATTCCTGTGAGCCGGTGTGTGTGGTCCAGGGTGCAGTGCCTGTCCCGCAGGGCTAGGGATTGGCTTCTGGTCCCCCATTTTTGAAAAMTCAGAGGTTGGGCCTGGGGCCCTCTGCTTTTTCCTGCAGCTACTCCAGTGGGGGTGGTGGGGGTGGTGATGGAGTGGGCTGTGGGGCAGGTCCACCTTCTTGTTCTGTGCCCAGGGAGCTGGGGGCGGGATGTGGAGGTGCTTCTGCTGAGGTCGGGGTGGCCTCTAAGCAGTCTGCACTTGAAATCGTGGCCTTGTACCCACTCCTCCTGGATCCACCTCAAGTGGCCACGGTKGCAGCCCGGGGTCTCTGCCCCATGTTTTTGAGAAGGGCAGGGCAGGCCTTTTCTGAGCTCAAGGAGAGCCTCAGGCCTGATATGGAGTTGGTCAGTGGCTATGGGTCTCCATAGTGGCCGGGACCATGTAGGGTCATCTTAGAGGGCTGTAGGCAGGTGGGGCCAGAGACTCCCCTACAGCAGGTCCAGYACCAGTCCAGCTCAGCGGCAGGGCTCTGTCTCCAGCCAGGGCTTCTTTTTCCTCAATAGTCATAAAACACACATTTGGAAACATTCCAGGGGCAGGTAAACATGGAAGCAGATGCCTTCCCTGCCCACCTGAGCCGTGTGCAGCCCTCAGACCTCCCAGGCATACGTGAACCTTTGGGTTAATTTAAACAAATGGRACCAAGTTTGTTTGCACCTGGCACCCCTGCCCTCCCAACTCAAGGGAGGATCCCCGGGAGGGGAGGCTGGAGGTTGGAGGTTGGAGGTCAAGTTCGGGCCCTTCCCTGACTGCAGCCTGGGGAGGGCCAAGCCACCAGGCTCCACATCATGGTGTTCCAAGCCCCCAGGTGTCAGTAGCTCTGCTGTCTTGGCAGGTGGCCAAGGTGGAATACGTCAGGAAGAAGCCACGGTTGAAAGAGGTCCAGGTGAGGCTGGAGGAGCACTTGGAGTGTGCTTGCGCACCCTCCAGCCTGAGTCCAGACCACCGGGAAGAGGAGACCGGTAAGTGGCGGCTGCTCCCTGGGGAGCACAGGATGAGCCCCAGGGCTAGCTGGAGAGGAGGGTTCAGCCGGAGTGAGGCTGGTGGGGTCTTTCCCTGGGTTCTCGGGGCGCTGGGCATGGGCAGGTGAGGCATGGCTGCCAAGCCCCTGTTTGGGTGGGCAGGAGGAACTGATGGGAAGAGGGGGCACTGGATATGGTGGTGGCCTTGTGATGGGGTCCTGGCCTCCACCCTGCAGGGCAGTGTGCCCAGTAGCCATGAGGTGCTGTGACCTGCTCTTGGGCCAGCCCCAGGCGCAAAGGAGGGGACACGGAAGTGTCTCTATGCCAGGGCGGATCGAGCTTCTTTCAGAAAGATAAACACCTCAGGTATTTATTGCTGCAGCTTTGCTGGACAGCCTCCCGAGGCCGCTCACGGGTCCCTGCCCTTTCATTAACAGGAAGGCGTAGGGAGTCAGGTAAAAAACGGAAAAGAAAAAGGTTAAAACCCACCTAGAGCGCCAGCCAGGTAGGCCCCGCCAGCGGGCGCTGGGATGCTGCAGGGATGGGAGGCCAATCCACAGATCACTGCAGCGAATCAGCTTCCCTGGGGCGGGCGCGAGGCCTTGGGCTGCGTGCTTGGGTGTCTGCTGGGTGCGGGCTCCTCGCAGCTCTCCCCTTCCTTGGCTTTGCTCTGCTCTTCCTGATTGGGCTGCAGAGCATCACACACGAGTGGAAAGGTTTGGGGTGCTGGAGCAGTGTGGTGGGACCACCTCCTGCCTCCTCCATTGGCAGCTGGGGAAACTGAGGCCTCACTGGTTCCAGTTCTGGGTTGTCGAAGGCTCAGTGGGTCTGGAAATGCTTTATAAATGTACAGGGATGTTGGCTCTTGGGCATCAGCAACATCCGACCGAGATGGAGTGAGGGTAGAAGTTTCTGATGCTCGGATAGAGATGGCAAGAGCCAGGAGGGGTGGCTGTCCCGGGTGTCAGAGCTGTCTCATGAGCCAAAGTGACTGCTCAAGCTCCAGAAGTCATACTAATACTCTAGGCTGGAAGAGWAAAGGCAGGTGGGGAGAAAGAAGGGCCAAGGTAGCAGCCCCTCTGAAGAGTCTCCCAGAAACCCCACCYGGGGCTGTCCTGGGAGACACCCAGAGGCGTGCTGCCTCCCAGAGGAAGAGGGCAGCTCTGGGCCTTCCCAACCTTGGTTGGCCTGTCTGGCTCAGGAGCCTGGAGCCCGTCTGGCTTGGCCCTTCCTCCTGGCACGTGGGCCTCTGTGGCATCCAAGACAAATAGTTGTTGTAGACAAGAGGAGATTCCTCAGAGATAGTGTGTCTGAGAGCCCTGGCTCCGGTTGGGCCATGTGGCTGGGGAAGTCGGCCAGTCCAAGGGGCTTTGGAGGCCTGTGGGTTGGGCCATTGTGAGGACCCTGTGGGAGGAAAGCACCCACTTGGCATCCCTGAAGCAGCCCAGCAATGCTCAGCCAGGGCCTCCACAGCCCGGGGTGTGGCGAAGGGGTGGTTCCCTGCCTGCCCCCTGGGTCCATTCCCCTTCAGTGAGAGGGAGCACTCAGGCTGCCCCCACAGGGGGACCACATGCTGGAATGTAGGATGCAGAAGCGAGGTTGGTTGGGGCTTGGGGTGTGGCTCAGAGATAGAGCGCCTGCTTAGCGTACATAAGGCCCTGGTTCCATTGCCAGCATTGGAAGTAATAACAACAGCAACAACAAAAGAGCCCAATGTAGATCAGTCTGGCTCAAGGGATCTCTCTGTCTGGGGCTGGTGACATCCACCCTCAGCTAGTTGCATGGCCCAAAATCGCTGCCAGAGCTCCAGAAGTCATGTCCAGGACCTATGCTGGAAAGAAAGGAAGGCAGGGAGAAGGGCAAAAGAACCCTTCTGGGCCTCAGTTTCCCTGTCTGTACCATGGGAGCGTGGAGTTTGCTCTCAAAAACACGTTCTTCTGTGAGATGCTATGAGCCTAGTCCCAATTCTTTCAGGATATGGCCACAATGGTTAAGATGATTCTTCAAATTTCACTGGCAAGTTTAAATCCTCAGACTTAACACCGTGGGTGCCCTTGATTGGGTTCCACTGCTTCAGTGATACGTGCCTGGTGGCCCAGCCTCTGAGCCTCTGTCTCCCCTCTTCCTTGCAGATGTGAGGTGAGGATCAGCAGCAGCCCTCTCCTGGGACACGGATGTACATGGCGTGTTACATTCCTGAACCTACTATGTACGGTGCTTTATTGCCGGCGTGCGGTCTTTGTTCTCCTCCGTGAAAAACTGTGTCCAAGAGCACTCTGGAGAACAAAGAGACAGTGTACATTTGTTCAGTGTGACAGCAAAGCAAGTATTGTAGCACTCGGAGAAACTGTAAGCTTCCTTGTCAGAGAGAGAGAGAGAGAGAGAGAGACAGAGAGAGAGAGAGAGAGAGAAAACAAACCACAAAACACGACAAAAAACAAAAAAAAAAAAACAACAGAAAAAACGGACTCCAAAACATCTAAGCCTTCGGCGGAAGGGCCGCCCCGCGTGGGGTGAAGTGCAGTGGGCTCGCGGGTGGATCTGTGTGGGCCGCGGTGCTTTTGCTGAGTCGGAGCCTGGCGTGGAGAAGCCAGGCTTGGATCACCACGTGGACACCCCCTGGCTGCAGCACTCCAGTCTGTGGGACCCTCCTGGGAGCCTTAATGGGTTTTTTTTTTTACACCGTAAAGTTACGGAGCTTTCCTTTTTACTCTTTGCCTAGCTTTCCCACCCCTCCCYCCCAACCTTTTTTTAATTATCTCTTGGATGACATTTACGCCGATAACACACGAGGCTGCTGTAACTGTCAGGACAGAGCGACGGTATTTTTCCTAGCAAGATGCAAACTAATGAGATGTATTAAAATAAACGCGGTATACCCACCTATGCATCATTCCTACATGCTTCTGACTTTCCTGTGTCCCCCCCATCTGGCCCCACATACTCCCTATTTTTTTTTTTTTTTTCTGATTTAAGCCATTTCAAGAGGACTTCATGCAAGCCATCGAGCAGAGTGGCTTCCCAATGATGCGGGCTCCCCACTTGCAGGGGCATGGGGCAGAACCTAGATTCTTTATTTTTGGTAAAATGTTGTGCTTTGCTTGTATTAACAGAAATATGTGTGTGTGTGTGTGTGTGTGTGTGGCTTCTTTGTCCTTTTCATTTTGACTTGTAAAGGTGAAGTTTGTATTTTTGATATTATCGGTTTTATCTACCTGCAAACCTGCTGTTTTTTTTTTGAACCAAAAGAAAAAAAAAAAGCCATCAAGACGGATGCCCCGTGGGGGAAGCATTTTTGTGGTTCTGTTTCTGGTGTCTTCTGGAGTCTTGTTCCTGTGACCTGTTGCATGGGCAGTTGTTGGGTGAAAATGGGGACTGGAACCATCTGGCTGGAGTCCCTGGACCTGGCTGTCCATGGGCTTCTAGAAGGCTGCTGCCCTTGGACTCCAGAGTGGACAAGGATGGACCAGAGTGCTGTCCTGCTGTGGGGACGAGTGTCACACAGCGAGCCCAGCTATCTGTGACTGCCTGCCTTGATGCAGTCTGCCTGAAACCTGGACGGCCACTTCCTTCCGGGTGCCTCTGGCTCTCGGACCCTGTGCCTGTGGGATTATCTCTAGGATGGAGGCCTGTGTCCGTCTCCACAGTGCTAGGGCTTATTAGGTGTCTCCTTAAAGTTACCAAAGCAGTGCTGGAGGCCAGGGCAGGAGTGTCCCCACCTCCTCTCTGTGGATGGACAGATGCTGTGCCAGGGGCTAAGGTCCTGCCCCGCCCCCTCTGCCATCTCAACACTGTACCTGAAGTGTACCTCTGRTGCATCCGATATGTAAGCCTGTCATTTGTGTTTTTGTGAGATGCTGATGTGCTGCTTAGTATGTGCAAGGCCATCTAGTGAGATACCATGTCCATTAAAACTGGAGCAGAGAAACCTGGAGATGTGGGGGGAATCCCACAGAAAGAGGCCCRGAGTCCTGGGCCACTGCAGAGGAGTGGCACTTGTGGGACCTGGCCTGTGGGCTTCTTTACCGCTCCCCAGGTGGAGGGTCCTGGTGGAGCCCAGCTGGCCCCTCCTGGTCTGCTGGGGAGTGCTGGCCTGGCAGGCGGGGTGGAGGTGGGGCTCTAGGCCAGGGAGGCTGTGGTCTGTGGCTGGATTGTTCTGAGCCACCGCCTTCACCTGCAGCCTTTGTTGCGGGTCTGTCCTGAATTCCTGGCATTTCTCCTCCTGCCTGCACCCCCTCTAGCCTGGCCTCGGGCTGCACCTGGGTGTGAGCCCCAGAAGACAGCTTCTGCTCAGGGCCCTCTTCCATCTTGAGAGCTGTAACCTTGAGCCAGGGCCTCCACCTGCACCTCTGCTCAGCGTAGTAAGGACACTGCCTGTCATGTGCCTGGGACTTCCTGGGGTAGGGTGTATGTGTGTGTGTGTGGGGGGTGGACTTTGGCATCTCCCACCACCTGGTGCTGTGACCTTGGGAGCAGGCCACACCAACCCCTGGWGTTTCTGGGCCTGAGGTTGCAGAGGCCAAGCAGTGGTTGGAAACAGGTCCCTGTTCTGGCCTGCAGTCCTGAGCTCCTTGCTCACGGCTTGTTCCTGCCAAGGGCTGCCAATCTTGCAGCCTTTGCTGGGTTCCTTCTCTAGGTCTAGGTTCCCCCTTCATCCGGGCATCCTGGTCTGTGAGCCGGTTGGACAAGGCTGGCTCCAACCAGCCAGCCCCACTGTCCTGGCTGCCTGGGACTGTCCCAGCTGCGGCCAGGCTCCAGAGTCAGGAGCAGCTGGACCTCTGCAGGTGACCTGTGTCCCCTCTGTACTCAGCTTTGGTTTTTTCCAGAGAGTCTAGGGATGGGAACTTGAGCCTACTAGAAGGTTGCTCCTTTTCAAGATGGAGCTGTGCCCTTGAGATACTGTGACTTCCTTGGAGGGACCCTGAATGGACAGTCCCAGGGATATGGTTGGGGGGTGGGGGGGGGTGGGCAGGCAGCGGAGGAATTCTGTGGAGGCCAGGTGTGTCCAGGAACCTCGCTGTCTCTCTGGGCCTTGGACTCCCTGCTGCTGTGTGCTGTGTGGTGCGGGCCTTGGCAGGCCTTGGCAGCCTGCCCCCCGCCCCCCATGCTGGCTGGCTGACTGTCCTGACTGCATCGTGGACAGCCGATGGCAGCCGAGCCCAGAAACAAGCGCTCTTTGCTTTTCACTTACAACCACTTGCTCCAGTTTCAAAGAGTGTCTGGATCCTCCCATGAGATGGAACAAGAATTGCTACAGCAGGGCCACCCCCCCCACCCCCACCCAGAGCATACTACTAAGGTCACAGGAAGAAGCTGGATTTGAGCTCAAGCCTCAGTCACTGCTCACCTGTTCCCCTGATGGGGGCATCCTGGACTGCCGCTAGCACCCTGTGTCACAGCTGAGAAACTGAGGCACACAGAGGCTTTGGAACTGTCCCAATCTCTAACCTAGGAACCCTGATGTCCGATGCCTCTAGCCTGGCCTGGTGGCCCATCCTGCACCTCCCTGACCTGCTGGAAATTGGCTGAGGCCAGGGGGCAGCATCCTAGGCTCAGGGGTGCAGTCCGAGAGTGGAGGGCCTTCAGCATCCTCCCCAGTAAGGTAAGGTGAGGGGACGGAGAGGCTCAGGGCCCAGGCAGCCTCCCAAGAATGCTCAGGGGGRACTTGAACCCGGCCCAGCGGCTGTCACCTCAGGGCACGATGCCTGGATCCTAGGGCCCCAGTACAGCCACCTTAAGGCCTGTTCTGCTTCAAGCAGGGTGCAGGGGGTGTTGGGGTGTGGGGCATGGCCTCAGTCCTGGGAATGATGACAACATAATAGGTCCCCAGTTCCCAGGCTGAGCCTCGAGAGCTGGGTGCTCCACTCTAGTCGTGTGGCCTGGCCTGTGTTCCAGACGGCTGTGACAGACGGGTCGGCGTTAAGCTGTGCTTTGGATTAAAAGTACTTTAGTGACAATGCTTGATATTTCATTTTTGGCTCTGATAGAAAGTTTAAAATAGTTTGATTTAATTTTTTTTTTTTAAAGAATGTTGGTTTAAATTAAAAATTCACTTGCGCAGGGTGGAGGCAGCTTGCACGTTGTGGGTTTGACATGTGGATTCCTGTGACTGAGGATCTGCTTTAAGGGGAGGTTGGCTGCTGAGGGGGGGGGGGCTCTTACCTGGGGCAGGCCCCTCCCACGCTGTCCAGCACTGAGGGCACYGCACGGCCTTCCCTGTATTGACTGCTGTGTGGGTGGTTGGTGGGCCTCTGCATGGTGCTCAGGTGCGTATGCAGCTGGGTGCCCATCAGCCTGCCTTGACTGCTCAAGCCTCAGTTTYCTCATCTGTAAACCAGAATGATGGTGACTGGGATGGGGTTGATGAGCCTGTGGGAAACTCCCAAGAGGCACCCCAGGGAAAGGTGTAGATGTACCCCATCAGGCCTTAGTCCACCTGGCAGCTCTGACTCCTGCTGCCCCTGTGCCTGGTTCCTGGCCCAACCACTCAAGGCTCGGGTCTCCATAGGAAGGAGGCCATGAGAAGGCCCTGTGGGATATTGGGGCCTCTGTGTAGGATTCTGTTCTGGGGTTCAGTGGACCTTCACTGGCCCCAACCTTTGACTTTATCCCCTCTGGTGCTCCACGGTCCTATGATTCTCACCGAAGATAACCCCAGGCTGCGGTCTCCATCCCGTGTGCTCACGGTGCTAGCCTTTGGGTCCAGCCTGAGGACAATGAAGCTCCCCACTGGCTGCCCCACMTCAGGGGCTGGTCCAACACCTTCCATGTGCATATACCTGGGGACCAGCTCACCCTACCCTGCCTGCCCCACCTTCCTCCTTCTCCAGTTGACAGTGGCAGTGAATGGCAAGCTAATCAGCTGGCAGAAACAGAAGGGAGGGTCGGGCAGGACTTCCTTAGGTCCCCGGCTTCTTGTCACACATCACAGGCCAGGCTTATTGTCCTCCATCTCCAGAGACAGCTGGACACGTGGCCCTGGAGCCCCGGCATATTTACTCCACCCACGTGAGTCCCTGGTTCTCACCGTGCAGGTGGGCACTCCTGCTGGTTCAGGTGGACCCTGAGTGGGGTCCTGTGTCCATTCTGCTGCAGGGTGGGGTTGTACTGGGAGCTGTAGACAGCAGGTACCCTGTTCAAAGATGGGGCTGCAAAGTGGGCATCTGGGGTGCCTTGGCTCCCAAACACCCCAAAATGGAGCCTGAAAGACTGGCAGAGCTCCTGGGAGAGAGGTCCCAGGGACAGGGAGAAGGAGTCAGGCTCCTGGCTCCTCCCTTCGGGGTCCCTGAGGACCTTGGGAAATACCTCAGAACTGTCAGCTCGGTGGCAGAAAGATGCATTTCTATAGGGCCTGTTCACACAGGCCAGGGGCCAGCAGCTAGAACCAGCTGTGCGTGTGCACACCCAGAGACTG